TACACAATTAACTGTAGCATTATATATAGAGCTTTTACACTATGAATCGATGACAAATATAATTTTTAAAATAATTATTATAAAAATTAATAAGTTTATCATATATTTTCTCTGAATTTACATATGAGCAAAAATAATTAATTTTACATAAATTAAGGAAGTTCATTAAATACATTTAATTTTTACAATTTCACATAAAATATGCACTACATCTTTTAAAATATCTTTAACCATATTCATGATAGATGATATTATTATTTATTTATTATTAAAAGGGTATTTTTGGATTGAGAACCTTAAATAAGGTTGATTGATTTAAATTTATTTATATTTAGTTCAAAAAATTTAAGCATTTTTTTACTTATATATAAGTTTAGAAGGAATACAAAATAATTTGAACCATTAAGGTTTTCTAGGGAAGATATAATTAAGTCCCATTTGGAAAAATTTATGAATAAATTGTTTGTACTTATCTTATTCTATAAGTGTCTATATGAGTGTTTGGACAAATTTATAAAATATCTTAAGAGTAATACATAATATATTTTGAACTTATTTTAATAAGTTGTTCGGTATAGTTTATTACTTAGTTTAAGCAAAAACTTATTAAAAAATACTTAATAAATAGTTTTTTTCCCACTAAAACTCAATTATATATATATATATATATATTCATTACTTCCTTCAAAGGTTTTCGTTTCTTTCTTCAAAAGTTTTTGTTCCTTTTTATATTTTTTCTCTTCTCTAATAATTTTTTTTATCTCTTCTCCCCAAAATTCACATTCCTCTATTATAAAAAAAATTCTCATAACTTTTTTCTCTCTCTAAAATAGAATTGATTTTTAATTTTTAAAATTTATGGTCTTAATTTTTAATCATGATTATATGTATACTGGATTTCTAATGTTTTTTTAATAATTTTTTTCTTATAAACTAAAATTAGGTGAATAAGGACTAGTATTTTTTATTTTTAATATTATTATGATTTATAATGTTATTTTAAAAATTATTTAGTTATATTTTATATTTTATTTGTCTTAAATATGTTTTTACTCTTTGTAAAATTAGTAAGTTTTGATTTGATCCCTATAAAGTTTTTCTTTATTTTTCATGTTTCTAATTTTGTAAATATTATTTTCGGTCTTCGTAAAATAAATAAATTTTGGTTTCATTCTAGTAAAATATTTTTCTTTAGTTTTCATCTTTTTAAAATTTAATGTCACAATTTTTGGGCCATGATGATTTATTTTAAGGTAAACGAATAACAATTATTTTAAGAATCTATACGAATTTTTAGAGGTGTCACTAACATAAAATCAGTTGTATGTAACATACGAACTAAAAATAATAGTTTTAATTTTAAATATTAATAAAACTTGTGTTAAATGAATGTGCATAATACCAATGTAAAAAGTCCAATTGTAATTCGAGAACAGTACCAACCGCACCTAAAGAATTGTATTCGAGTTTTGTCCTTAAAAGAAGATTTTATAAAATACATACAAGAAAAAAAAATTGTACCATGGTATCAGTTGGAATATTTACTCACTTCGCTGGAAACTAATCTCTCTCAAAACATTAACTACATTAAAGTTATCTCTCTCAAAGTTATTTTTTTATCGGATTCAAGACTCAAGCTTGAGATCTTAAGACTTAAAGACCAGTCACAATATCAATTGGACTAATGAACATTCATATATATATATATAGAGGAGGGTTCAAACGACACCGGTGTAACTTTTACTAAGTATTACACCGCTTAATAACTTTATATTAGATGTAAATTTTGAAAATTCAACCGTTAGATTGAAAGTTCATATCTCTTAGATCATATATGTCAAATTTTGTTAAAATTGAGCAACAACTTGAAGGTAATCAAAATGTTCATATTTTAATATATTTTAAAATGTATATATTACGTCAATTTTGTTTTATGAGAATGAAGTATCAAATCATCTTAGATTAATATAAAATTTAATATATATATATATATATATATTATATTATATAAGAGATATGAACTTTTAATCTAACGGTTGAATTTTCAAAATTTACATTTAATATAAAGTTATTTAGCGGTTTAATATTTAGTAAAAGTTATATTGGTATCGTTTGAACTCTCCTTTTATATATATATATACATATATATATTATTTTTTTAAAACGGTAGCATTAAAAGATGGAAAAGGATATTTAATTGCATCAAAGTTTTGGTTAAATAACACAACACATGAAAAAATATCCACTTGATATGATTAATAATAATAGTAACATTTATCTTGCTAGCCCAAACTCGTAATCGAGGCAAGGATTACAAGCGTTGGCCTCGTGTACACATGTGGAGTAGTTGAACGTGGACTCCTAGATTCACACACCGTCATTGAAATTGAAACTCTCTCGTAGACCAATAGAGAATTATGAGAATTTGGATCCTCACCACCATTGTACTTGTTATCTTTACGCTTTGGAACCTGTACCATGGCTTGCAATAGTTATATAAGCTTTTATCCAACCAAAAAGGTATATGATTTCTCCAACCACTAATTCCTATTGCTGGTGTGCACGCCATGGAACACAGCTCATTTTCAAACTGTTGATCAGGATTGAGAAATTAAGTGGTTTGGTATTGTATTGAGAATAGGGATACCATCATCCGGAACAAGGAACCGTCCTCACGTGCATGGAACCTTGATCTTCTAAAGTTCAATTTTAACTTTATCATAGACAACTACATGGTGAATAAATTTTATTAAAATTTAGGTTTATTGGAATAACTCAATTATATAAAATTGATTTAAAAATAAGAATTGTAATTAAAGGGGTTTGAGACTATTGGAGGGTTATATTAAACCCATTAAACATTATTGAAGGTTTTATAGGTGACCTTTTTAATGGATTTAAAATAAATAATATATATATATATATATATA